TATTTTTGACTAATTTAGATAGCTAATCGTTGTCTATCTGTATCGCCTTAAAATACAACTATTTTTTATTTTGTCATGTTGAATATCTAGGAATATACCAAATGACAGAAAGCCATGTCAGTTCAGCTTTTCTTGAGTTTTAGCAACTAACGAACAGCAATTATTTTTTATATATAAAATTATCTTTGTCTATGGAAATTGTGTGAAAATGTTATTCGTTGATTTGCATCTTAATTGCAAGCAAACAACAACACTCCGTAAAAAAAAACAAGTTGTTGTTCTGTATCTGGGACTCTGTGTTATGTGTTTATGATTTTTATAACGTAGGTTACTTACCTTCATTTATTTGTATATGAAGGTACGTTACGGAAAAAAATCAAAGCGTAAAGCCATGTTACAGATGCGATTAATTTCAGTTTAATAGGCAGGACAAATGAATTATTTAGTTCCAAAAAACGAAGTGGAGTGAATTCGTTTTTTAAAAATTGTTGCTATATGTATATGTATTAATTAGTACATAGATATAAGCTTCCAATAATATTCTCGCAGTAATGCAACAGAGATTTACATAAAATATGTATGAACATCTACAAAACTAAATATTTACATAATAACACATTTGTTATTTTAAATCATTTTACATGACATCGCTAAAATACTTACTTAAAACATTTTAAAAATGGCGCGTCAAATGTCTAACTTGTGATGTGTAGGTAATCTGTTAGATTATGGTGATTAAGTAAGCCTACCAACTAGTATTTTAAAGTATTATAACGAAAACTTACCTACAATAAAAACCATAATTACATAGTATGGGAACAAACTGCATAAATATAACGAAAAAAAAACATTGATATTAATTATCTTTTGATTGTTACTAGTGATGGGCTGAGTGAACATAGTCGTATTGTCGATAAACTGTAGCTAATGGTGATTGATCTGCTTTTAATTGTTAGAAATAGCTTTAAAAATATAATTGCTAGTTACAGGTCACAGTAAATGATAGGTAGACAAATACAGTTTGTTTTGAATTTTACCTTGGAAAATAAAAGTATTTAGTATTGTATGTACTTGTATTTCAAGGATCACTTGAGCGTTTAATATGAGGATATAAAACTAGGTACAAAAATAGATACTTAGATATCTTGAAATCCTGTGTTCGGTACGAAAGTGCCGGCTTAATCAGAGTGATAATACGGCCTCACAAAAACCAGCGTGAAAAACCGTCCAGTTAGCGGAAGCCCAATCCCTCAATATTTAAATCATAACCCCAAAAGTCTGGCCACCTAACTCCTCGGTGTTACGGGTATCCATTTGCGATCGATTGCTTATCATCAGATGATCTACCCATATAAGATGATTAGCCGCTTGATATATATATAAAAAAATGAATGCAAGCAACTTTGCTTCGATTAAATTATTGCACAAACATTTGAAGTAAGAACACAGTTAAATAATTGTTCTTATGCTGCCAAAATCCGTCTAGATCAAGTTTTAGATCAACTAATGCCATTAAACATTTTTAATAACTTAAGCTTGCAAAATTAATTACCTATCCATCGAGACCAGAAAGAGACGACCCCATAAACATTCATTGTTCTATTTCTTTCACAGAAAATTCATACATACATATGTATTGTACATTGTTTATTGTTTGTATCTGTGAGACGAGACAGCAAATGGACACATGACTGGTCGACCAGACTGAGGATATGCAAGTAAGTACTTCAATACGTTTTGTTATACATAAATGATATTCGGTATTTACCTACCACGACATTGTTACTTACTTATATTGCATTCAATATTGTTCCCTTTCTATTATAATACAAATGAGCGAGACAATACAGTTTATGTTGCAATTTTATGCCTTTCAAATGGTGTTAATTTCTAAAATGACGCGTTTCTTGTATTTTGAAATGAATTGCACGTTTAGCAGTATGTTTTTAAAGAAACAATAGTGTGTGTGTCATATTTGGGTTGGTTAAAATATGTTTTTTCGACAATATCCAAAGTCTGGTATTTGGTTTTATGTATCTACAATTGTAAGGAAATTATCAACGCCAATAAAGAAAAGTAGGTAGATGAACTGTAATCTGTATAATAATATAATCTTGTCAAAGTTGAGCAGTTTACGTTTATGACTTAATTTGTCCGTCGAGACATGGGATTAGTGTCATGTAAACAATGATTCGATATTTTTATTCGAGGTATTAATGAAGACACTGACAATGTGTTTCATATATACTATAGAGGAAAAGATTTTATTGTAAGTTTATTGAGATTATAATATCTCCGAAACTACCAGAGAAAATTCTTTCACATTTGGCAAGCTTATTTATCAGAGAGTAACATTGTATTACTTTCATTGTGGAATTTGGAAGACCCTCTCTTGTAAATATCACGCTTGTAACGCCGCAAACTGTTATATGTTCAGTGGTAAAATTAGGTATATCACATCACATAACATCATTAGCCTATAAGTACCTACCCACTACTGAGCAAAGCCTCTTCTGACACGAAAAAGGTTTGAGCATTAATAACCACGCTTGCTCAAAGAGGATTTGTGATTTTAGAAATCATAAGCCTAGGTTTCCTCATCTTGTTTTCCTTCTCCGTGCTGTATGTCTGTATTGTCTAAATAGTCATAGAAAGTACATGTAACTCGGAAAAAGTCACATTGGTACTTGCCAGGTTTCAAGCGGACGCCTTAACCTTCGAGCCATCATGACATTACGAAATTAGGTACGGTCATAGTTAAACTGTGTTTTTTTCGCTTGAGTGTTGATACCAGTCTAAATGTAGACTTTATCAAGACTAGTTTTGGTTCACAACATTTTACACTTGGTACCTACATAACGGTAAGAACTGTGTTCATTTCTAATTAACCTACTCGCAACGGTGATAAAATGTAAACTAAGAATTATAATATAATGTGAAATATCTACTTTGTGTATAAAATGCGTAGGTAACGATATTTTTTCGCTAATATAGCACAGCCTAGTATATTTGGATAGTTACTAAGGCATGTAACTAAATAGTTCGTCGTTAATTGTTTTTTTTTTATACTTATATTATGTTTAATTTTTCATAGACGTTTTGCCGATTATTTTTTTCTAACACAAGTTTAGTAAAAACGTTAAATGTTTTGTGTTAAAATTGTAATTTTGTATGCTTTGTATGCTATGCTTTTCAGTGGCGTGTGAAATTACTATAAATGACGTCTTAAAGGTCATTTCCTATTTATTTTAAAACTTCAAATATTGCTATTTTCTTTAAGACTTCGAAAAGAATATTCTTCCAAAGAGTTTCGAATGGATAATGAGTTGTATTGGGTAATTATCCTGAATTAGTTACGAAGACTATGAATATTATGCGTAATATTGAGGAAGAATTTGAAAGATGTATTAACTACCTAATTAATTTTGTTTTAGACTCGATTTTTTACCAAAATTACGAGGCAAAATATAATTTCGTAAGATACGTAAGTATGAATGTTCATTGATCAATTTATTTCTTATCGAGACAACGGTCAATGTCACATCACTATCGAAGGTCGATTTTGGCAGTAATAGAATTTTATTTTCGTCTACAGAAACACGTTGAGGAAACAACAGAGTTATAATATTATTGCAAATACCTTGTGTTGTGACTTTAGCGATATCCAGCACATCGATTTATAAATATTTACATTGAAATTTAAGAATAACGTGGAACGTTACATTTTGCACACAATAAATATCCTTGTACACTTTCACTTTAGTTAATTTTAGTTCACTGGTTCACTGTATACTGCGTAAAACAACGATTTGTTTGGTACAAACATTGACAGTGCTAAATATAACCTAAACGCACGTCTTTCTACATCAACTGTGGATGAACAGCTGATTGTGAAGTAAGCAAAAAGTACCTTTCCAGTAAGTACTCTCGGCAAATTGCGTTGCGTACGTTTTAGCATGACCGCATGACCATAATTTACATTGGACATTCAAATTAGAAAGTCAAATTAAGGATTATGAAGATTAAAATATTAAAATACACGGATTTGCAATAAAAATTGCAACGATGTACTTATTCATATTTTATAAATAATCTATACGTAATTTATGAGATTTGTCTTCTTTCCTCTATCCACTTTTAAAATATGTGCAACAAGTAACCATCAGTTTCTTTATCTTTTGTTTATTTTTGATCGCGAATTTTATCAAAACAGCTGTTTTGACATTTTTGCTATTGATAAAAAATAATGTATATGGCAACTTTATCAATTTTGTTATATTGCCAGAAAATGAATTTACCCAATTTCTAGGTATACGTGGTTGAATAAAAAATTCTTACATTTAAGTAAGGTTTTGTTTTTATATTAAACATTAACTATTGATTGTATTGATATGTTCATGATATCATGTTCGATTATTTATTATGTTTCGACGCTTACTCAAATTAGTAAAAGACTGCTAAGTTCTAATTATGTACGAAATAATACGCATGATAACAAACCACTTTCCAAGAAAGTAATGTTCTAAACTCTTTCACTTCCATTTAATCCAAACTAATATTATAAATGCGAAAGTAAATCCATTTGTCTGTCTGTCTATCTTTTCTTCATGCTTAAACTACTGAACCGGTTTCTGTGATGATAAAAGAGAGGACATATGATAGTTTTTATACCAAAAATCTGTAGGAAGTCACTATTCCACGGCAACGGCAAAAGCTAGCTAGTTTTAAATAAAAACACAACAGTTATTTCAAACCTGTAAAACCCATCCTTCTCAGGTATAAACTTTAAGTCCAGGTTCAACATATAAAACCTAAGTAAAAATTGTTATTTAATGTGTTATATTTATGTTAATATTATTTTATGGTAGGTATTGAATAAATGTTATTTGTAAAGTTTTGAAAATTAATTTACCGATGTTTTCAGAAGTACCTACAGTTGCAAAATGTATGGGGGATTTATTTAAAGGAGCTGGCAACCCAAAAACTGTCATTGTCAAATTGTAAACGTCAAAATAATCAATTAGGAGAAGCGTTTGTGACGAAATTATTTATCAAAACTGCTCATAGCTGTATTATAATGGAACGAAGAAACGAAACATTCTGTTTGAACAATTAAAATTATCAGATGACAAGGTTATTCGATGTAAAACATTCCATTAGCGAGCTCGTACCGAGATCGACCATAACCTTACTTTGTTACCTAATACTTTAATTTTTTACATAACTTCCGTATATTTCATTAGTAATACGTGAATTTAACTTAATAAATCATGGTGTAGTTTTATCTAGTGTTATACAATTTACATTCAGCCTTATTGGTCTGAATTTTGTTGTTATGATTTAATACTCTAACTTGATTGTTTTTGAGTCAGAAAAGTCTGTATTTTGGCCTGAATATGACTGAACCAGTTGAAAAGGATATTTGGAGAGACACATGGTTGCGCTACTTAGGTGAATATAAGGATATTATATTGTTGGATCATTAAGCTTCCTTCACAAAATACTTCATAACTTGAACCATTTAGAAAATATAATTTCATCATCATTTTCATGATGCAATAAAGTGTGTTTTGTATGGATGTTATAGAAAACTAGAAAGACAAGATAATGTTGGTCATTTGTTTACTAGTGAATAGAAATGGAGCAATTAAGAAGTAAAAACTTTTTAAAATATTAGTCAATTTGTTAAATCCGGTAAATAAGTAGGTACCAGAAGAATTTTAAGTTAGATATAATATTTCTTAATAATGTATGTATATATATTGCATAACGATTACAGTTTCATCATACAACCACTGAATTACCAATATAATATAAAGTATAAAACAGCTATAAATTTTATCAGCAAAGGCTTAAATTTTTCCAAGAACTTTTTTTGTTTGCTCCTTGCTTCCATGTCTATGTTATAGATAGAATAGTTTGATTTTCACATATCCAGCACTATTTCACGTATCTAGCAACATTTATGAGCCTAGAGAGTAGCATTTAGAATATACAATAGTTAACAATATGAAAAATATTTTTTTACAAGATTTTATTTGCAATAAAGCTACTTACTATTTTTATAATTCCTACGAGTTTGGATCACACCAAAAGTCTGGATCACACCAAAAATAAACAATGCTGGGCTAAGACCCTTTCACATTCATAGAAAATTTTAAGAGTTGCATAAAACAGCTTGGTAATATCAATATTATACAATAAAACATGTTTCAAAAGATTTCCTCAAAGATTTCCTTCACCATATTTCAGCCATCACTAAATAAAAAAGATGAATAAGTCAGTAAAAGTCATTGATACTTACACCGCCTAATGAATTGCCCTGTTGATCAAGAGGTTAGCCTGAGTTTGATTCTCAGGTCAGTCAGTGGAATTATTAAGTTTTCTGGTTTTTCGGAATTTTCTCAGTTAAGGCACAGAATGTAGTATTGTACAATGTTTATGACAATAAGATCTTATTTATCATAGTACTTATAATATAACTGGTTTACATTGTACACATAGATGGCATTAAATGCAGAATATGTGTATTGGTGCTCCATATCAGAAATAATAGTCATTATAATAATAAAGAAAATACTAGCGACTAGAGCTGAGGAAACATATGCCACTAGAAAATACTCTGCACCCTCATGCATGAGAAACAGGCGCATTAACCATTCCACCTTGACAATTATACCAATCAAAGTTCATGCTATTTAGCTTAAATTAATATGATCATAGAATAAAACATTTCCCTTCAGCACATCTATTTTGCTTGTAGAGTAACCAGCTAGAGCTGGACTCTGTAACTACCCAATAAATTCCAAATACAATGTATCAGGCAAATGGATGGCTTATTGTAAAACAAAATATAAAGAAACACATCTATATTGTAGAGACTGATTCAAAAGAATACTAAATCTGTTACTCACCCCTCGTCCCTCATGATGTACCGGTCACTGAACAGGTCCATGTTGCAGGGTATGCCAACGAGGTGGGAGAATCGTTCCGCGCGCTGGTCTCAAAAAGGATAGTACACGTCAGCTATGCAGTGGCCTTTGCGTACACCTTCGCTGATACTGGAGACAAAAGTTACAAAATGTTAAAGGTATGAATTATTAAATAACTATTTTTATTATAGAAGAAAATGCAAAAAGCGTGCTTGATGCATCCGACTAGTGCGGAGGGAAACCAATTCTACGACGCAAGACAAGCTCGGTAATAAAGATATGGAGTGCGTGTGGCAACCATGCTCTTTACGCCTCAGCCTCCATAGGTCTTCGGACACCGTAAGTGCGGGTCGGAAGAGCCATTCGACCACCACAGCCTTATATATTAGGGCCGATGTTCAGGCGTGGCTGCTGGTACAAGTGCAACAATATATCGTCTCGCTGTCTTAGCTCAAAATAGGCGAAGGAATGGGATGGTTTTCAGTCATTAAGAGACTAATACTACCTGACTCTTCTTCTAAGGAAAAATCCATTTAATTTTAAATAAGAGCTTCACAGAATACCGACGGACTCAAATTCGAACTCTTCCATCAGCCATGTTGTTTTTAGAAATTTGTTGAACATTACGAAAATATTTCCCTTTTGATATTAACCATGTTCTAATACTGATTACAGAAAGATGGCCGTCCAACACGTGTGCTTATAGAAGCGGGTGACGCACTTATATGGCAAACGCTGGCGTCCGTTGCCATACCTGGCTTCGTCATTAACAGGTAATTTGTATTTCCATAAGGAGAAGAAATTTATATTTTTAATGAAAAAATATTGCGAGCGCCGAACCGGAGGCATCCTGCTCCAATCCCCCAATTCTCGATCTTCAAATCCCTAACAACCTCCAAAAAATATATGTTCTTAGGCGTTAGGCCTCGTTTACGTTTAAGCGGCGCGTTGTGCGGTGCGATGTGCGGTTCGTCATACATTGCTCGTGATGTTCCTATGTTTGTGTTTGCACGGGCGTTGACACGTCTTGATGCTGTAATGTACGACAAACGAAATACGCGCGCAACGCCCCGCGTGTACGTAAACGAGACCTTAGGGTAAATAGGGCGTACGTGGCACAAGCGCAATAAGGTACCGCGGCCTCGTGGTAAGCAATCAGCGCCGCCCATGGACACTCGCAACGGAGGAGTTACGAGTGCGTTGCCGACCTTTTAGGGATTAGGGATTTGGAGATTTAGGGATTGAGGAGGGATTGGGGAAGGGGAAGGATTGGGCCTCCGGTAACCTCACTCACACGGCGAAACACAACGCAGTGGTTATTTCACGCCGGTTTTCTGTGAGGCCGTGGTATCACTCCGGTCGAGCCGACCCATTCGTGCCGAAGCATGGCTCTCCCACACTTAAACTTAAGTTTATTATTATCCATGTTTAATTTTTGGCAACACCGAAAATAAACCTTAATCTTTTAGGGATGGAATTCTTATAATCTTGTGAAATCTTTTCCAGGATATGCACATATTCTTCACTTTATATGAAGAGGTTTCCCAAAATAACGCCTTTGGCTAGAGGCTGGCTTGCAGTGGGGATTGGGTTGTCATCCATACCATTCATAGTCCACCCCATAGACAGAAGCACAACGTGGTTCATGGACAACACATACCGACGATGGGTCAAGGTATAGTGAACAGTTAAGTTGTCGTAGCCTATAATATTTTATTATTAGTTCTTTTGGGACCGTTTGTTCATCACTAGATGGCGCTAGAGAGCTATAAAGTCCTATTCTGTCTATGGATTGTTCACACTAGCGCCTCTGGTGGCGAATTCAGGCACAGTAGTCTTCATTGGGATGTTTCCTTAATCAGAAAAGTGTTCTGGCTTATCAAATAATCATATATTGATATCACTAATTATAAAGTAAATGTACAATTTTTGAAATATTGATTGATTTGTAAGATATTGTTACCTAATCATAATGTGGAATCTCATACGATTTGAAAAAATATATTTAATATGATTTAATGGAAAAATCCCAGTTACCTTTCTATATGATATGTGCCATATATTGGTTAACTCCACGATTAAGCTTAAGTAGTGAATTATATAAAATATTATTGTATTCCTGTTGACACTTTGAGAAGAATTATACTAAATAATAATATTAATAATGGACCCATACAGTAATAAAAGAATAAAATGAAAAATGCAACGTAATTTTAATCTAGAGATCAGACTCTTTCGGCCTTATTACAAAACAAGGTTTTACTTTAGTCTAGGACTAAACCATTGAGCCAGTTTTCGTATTTCGAATTGAAGGTAAATGACAATAAGATTCAAAATTCAAAACCCGACTCAATGGTTTAAACCTGGACTAAAGATAAATCTTGTTTTGTAATAAGGGGTTTAGGTCATTTTCTTGTCACAACTATCATTATTTTGTCTTCGGACTATTAATTTCTACAAATAATCTTCCATACATAATATTCCATATAAGTACTTACATTATTTCCAGAACGAGCTCTAAGAGCGAAAAATTTCGTTAAAAGGTCTCGTCTGAGTTCTAAATACTGCTTAAGCCCAAAACGATATGTTACACATATGTAAATACAAGAAAAAAAAGTTGATAAATGGACAATTTATTCTCTGTCTAGGAAAAAAGGGGCAAAATATATTTTTATGGGATCTGACATCATGATATATGGGTTTTAGACGCAGCAAGATTTGTGTAGTGGTACATGCAAGTTAAGTTATATTTTAAACAGTTTCCGCATTGTAGTAGATTGATAGATGTTGATGATTGACATTTGACATTTCAGACACTTTTACATGATAGATAAGATCCATTATTAGCCTCCTGGCTTCAGGCAATACGAGGCGCTTCGTAATTGTTTGCGCAAATTTAGCGCAAAATTGCGCTAAATATACATTTGCGCAATCCGCGCAACTAAGTGTTTTTCTCACTCCCAAATGTCAGTCATCAATTTTATTTTATTTTTCTTGGTGGAGAATATGAAATTAATTACAAATATTTTTGTATGATATTTTTTTTCATTTTGATAGAATTACACCAGGTTTCCGAAAGGCCGATCAATGTTAAAATCAGTTTAATCTCTTGTCAAGTCATCTGATTGGTTGACTGAATTATCAACAACCAATCAGATGACTTGACAAGAGATTTAACAGGAGATTAGTTAATTTTAGCGTTGACAAGCCTTTCAAAAACCGGGTGTAAGTAATTGTAATATGATCTACTATTTTACCACTGTTGAATTGATTCCTTTATTAGTTTAACTGTTATACTTTTGAACAATGATATAATAAGTAAAATGGTGTAGATAGGTTACATAAACAACATTTGATTTTCAAAAACGGCACACTTATGCACACATGAACAAGACGGCAAAGTGGATGGCATGATTCAATAATCGCGAGTCAAAAAAAGACAAATATGAAAAAGTGTGGCTAGTTAGCCACATTTTAATGTATCACTTGCTGAGCGCTTATGACCTATCTACACCTTTTTACTTGTAATATCATTGCTTTTGACACATTTCGTATGGAAGATATTTCCAAGTATTCGGCAGCTACACTAAAACTTAAAGCAAACTTAATTAGGAGTTGTGAAATAAGGTTTGAATGCAACTTTTTCTTTTCAAATTGTAGTATATACCATTTTGTGATAGTTTTTTTTAAGTTTAGAATATTAAAGAGAGTGTTCTTAATATTATAAAAAAACTAATGTGTTATTAGGTAAAAAAATATAGTAAATTTTGGAATATAGCTTTCGGTGGCACAAAATTACACCAAATTAGGTTTCAATAAAAAATTGATGTGTGACGTCATAGTTATGTAGTGTAATGATTGGCTGCGCTATAAGTACCTTAATTCAGCTTTAATTGCTTTCGACATAAGGTTGAAAGTCAACTGACAACACCAAATGTAAGAAGTTACATTTTGAATTGATTTATTTAGATTAAATTGTTGTACCAAGCATATTCCTAATCCAATTCTAAATATTGCGTACAATTAGCGTAAATTGAAAACGATGTCGCGTCAATTAGTATAAATTCGTTCCTAGATATATCAGTATTAATGAATCTAGATTATTATATTGGAATGGCTAAGTCCAGTAAAGCTTTGCTTATGTCGGATTCAAGGAACTACAAAGTGTCCTTAAAATAAGTGAAATATTACAATTAAGTGTATGTTTGGGAGCCATTTCAAAATTAACTTCAAATGTTATTTTGTCGTAGTAAAGTTCTAAGGCAGACAGATAAGGGTGGCTGGAGTAACTTTGCTATTGGAATGTAGACCTTAAGAGCGTGTATGCGATGAAGGCATAAATCATAGAAGCAGATCCATTTCTAAAGGTCTAGTCTAAATCCCTATTTCTTTAAGAGAGCAACTACCTGCCATTTTTTTTTGTATGGAATCTTAAAATTATCTCCCTCTGATTTCTTTCTCTCTCCCTTTTGAGACCTTTATAATTAGGTATATTTTTCAGTGGGTTCAACTGGTTTCTATGATTTTATCGAAGCCTACGCCGCGTACACTTTTTAACGTCTATCGAAAAAGCGCTTAAAGTCAACGAATGATCTTTGACAGATGTCATATTAGCGTGAGTGCCCGATCAACTGTGTCTGTTTGCTTTATTAACACTGCAAGAATATTAAATTACACATCTAGTTAGATTTGGTCGATGGTTTTGAAAAGAAATCTTATTGAATGTTGCCATAAGTGAAAAACATTTATTCTAATTACTTTTGATACTTCAAAATAGAATATTTGTCCGTCAGTCTGTTCGTTAGTGAAGCTTGTTGCTCGTTCTAAAGTGTAGATTCGAATAAAGATAAAAGAGTAGGAAACTCCATCGTTTCTCTTTTCATAACTATATGTTTTTTGATGTAATTAAAATGACCCCAATTTTAAATGAAACTTCGAATACTACCTAAAAGTTATATTTTTGTTATTTATAACAGGCATTAGAAAATTTCTCTTCCTTTTCTGAAGACGTTTAAATAAGAATTAGTTTTTTTACTATAAATACAAAAATAATCGACTAAATCTATCTAGTCTCACAACGCAAACGCTTAATTAGTAAACTTTTTTAGTCTGTGATATACAATTCCAAAGTACACTAGCGAATCTTATTAGGTACTAGTTAATTTAGACAAGACAATATAAAAAAAATATATTTAAAAATTTTCTTTGTTTTAGCAGTTACCATTATTTTGTTTTTATGTATTTGACATAGTCTAGCTACATTGTTATTATTTATTGTTCCTGTTACTGTTGAATAAAATCCGATTTATCCATAAATTCTTTTGTTTTTTTTTATTATTCTGGGCTATTAACCAACCAACCATCCATCCAGCCATATCCTCTGGAATACGGTAGTTTCCAACTAGTCAAATTCAATACTTTTATCCAAATGTCAAAACCGATACTTTTCTATGAAATTTGTATGAAAAACTGAGTAATGACGTCATAGCATTTGCGTCAAATAGCTTACTTATTTCTTAATAATTAGCTACAAAACATCTAAAACTTTTCATCATCGATCGATCGATGAATGAAAGTATAGTTATTTTTCAATATTTTGTTGCATTGAACATCGAATTAATTTATTTTTGACCTAGGAAACTACCCAATTGAATTAATTGTTTTTATCAATATATCTAAATAATGACATGGAGTCTTCAAGTAAGAAGAATATTCGTGTCGTTGAACACCATAAAAATTACACTTTGAAATATATTTGAGCAATACTTTTAATGCAACTTAGTATTATACATTTTTATCAGGCGCTCCATAATATTTATTATGAATGAGCGTATTATAAATTCAACAAGACAAGTGATTCATTCTCACGATAATTCATGAAAATTATTAAAAATATTACTCATAACTTTTTAATTAGGTTCGAGAACCCTAAGCAACTTTTAAATGACTGGTAAAAAATCAAACCATATTTATACGTACAACGTTATATACCTACCTACATTATATTTTTTTTATCTTTAAATATGGGTCACTTAATTTGTGGCATAAATGGGCCGACTAGACCGGCGTGATACCATAAGCTTTTATGAAACTAGCGTGGAATAACGCTTATCTACGTTTTGTTTTGTTCCAAATTCACCATGCCTAATTCCCCAACTTTTCTACCTCCAAAAGACTTTTTTTAAGTGTTTCGAGTGTCCATGACCTTACGAGTGATGCCGATAGCATACCATCCGATCTGTCGATGATATAGTCTGTACTCGTATCACACAGGTGAAATTTTGTTTGTTTGCTTGCTTGAACGCGTTAATCTCCGAAACTACTAGTTGAAATTGAACGAATCTTTGTAAAATGAATGTAGGTAGAAGAGGTTGGGTTGAGGCTCTAAAAGATCACGCCTCGACCAAAAGGAGCCGAGTAGCGGATTAAGCTACTCCACTCGCGGGAGCAGCTGGTACTATATATTTTTGTTTGTTTTTTTAAAAAACTTTGCGTTTATGGGTGCGTTTACGAACGTACACACCCAGGCCCGGAAAAAAAAATTATGGATCACACAAAGACTTGTTTCGTGTTTGAATCGCAACACGTTGCGCGGCAGCCATTTACCCAACCACCGTGCCAACCGAGCAGAAGTGTGGTGGGTAGGTAACGAACAAAAAAATTACAAGACACATGTAGGTAAGTACAATAACTATTAGGTAATTTACCGAAACCGAAATTGTTGAATTCAACGCCATCTCGCGGGAAAATGGCTATGAGCAGCTCGTATCATCGACCGTAAATACTCGCATTGTTTTGTAGAACAAATCATGTTTTGAAGATGAAATTTATCACGACACGTTTCTATTGTGGTCAAAACTATATATAGGTAGGTACCTAAGTATATATAAGTGCCTATTTCTTAGAATAATGTATTCTAAGGAGTATTATTTTATTGTTTTCATAGTGTAAATGCACTATGAAATGCATACTAAGGTACCTACATGAATAACACAAAACAAATACTGCATGTTTAGTGCATTGGCTGGACTTGGCCGCCTAATCCATTTTTGGTCAAGATTATTAAAAAAGTAAAAAGAAACAACAGAATGTATTACCAAGTACCTACTTTTCACTACATAATAATTATAAAACAAAGTCTTTTTCT